AGTTTTTGACATTTTTAGGTTCAGAAGGTCTCAAAAACATGGAGATTTGCAAAAAACTGAGGATCAACTTTGAAACGATTCCAATAGCCTCCAATTCCCTTGTTATGTATACATAAAAGCCAGGAAAGTAAAACGAAAGTTAACAACGGATTCAATTGATAAATAATTTTTACGTTGTTTTCAATATCATTTTATTCTCTTTTCAAATTTGTTGAAATTAAATATTTATTAAAAATATAAAGATGATATGTCAGTTATATAGCTATCTAATAAATATATCACACCTAATATAATGGTATAACAATACATTGTTTTATATAATATATAAGTTATATATTATATAAGTAGTTAATATATTATAGTTATAGTAATATATTATAGTTATATAAGTAGCATTATTTATAGCATACACTTAATTGAGATCTCTTATAATAAATAGTAATTGTTAATCTAGCAATTAACAGATATTTTTAGCCATATTTATGCAGGAGGAGTTTATATGTATATATACATAATACTGGGATAAAAACGATAGCTGACCAAGTGCCATGGAGGTGGGCTGTGGGCACTTAAGTCATCTCTAGTTGGCACTGAGTGACCTGTATGGACATATTTAATGGTTATCTTTAGTTTTGACATAGAATAGAAACTAAAATAAACAATTACATAATAGATTGTTGGGTGTCTTATTTAATTTTACAAAAAATAAGTGATACAAGTGACTTATTTTGTTTTTTAGTTTGGTACTTCAAAGCCAAAAATGACTGAAAACATTTTCTCTTTAACTATAATTAAATGCTAGATTAAAAGTTATTGTTTATTCTACTTTAATCACTCAGTTTTCATCTTCTGTAATTTGCAAACAATATTTTCATCATCTGCATTGATTTATTTGTATAAAAATAGTAAATTGTTATAAGACATATTCATAATGTATTGTTAAAATAATGAAACTTTTCAAAATGAAACAAATAAGAAATGTCTATAGACTTGTTAAGGAAGAACTACAATAAATAAAATATTCGTTATTCCAATTTATCAGTAATATTAATAACCAAATCATTAAATTCTGGATTATTTCAAGTTGTATCTTGGCTATTAATTATTGATGTAAAGTAATTTGGTCAAGAGTTAGATGACTAACTGCCATCTTGTACTGGATGGTGATCTAACTGCCTAGTCTTAGACTAAATTACTTTGCTGCCTGGCCATCCAACCATTGATTAAGGCATCGACCTGCTACTGTGGAAGACTTGGGATTAAATCTGGATAAAGAACTCTAGGAATTTTGCATAGTGATCTGTCTTGAATCATCAATCCCCATCTCTTACACCTGGCCACCTCTACAATAGGCCTTAAAAAAGATCCTCTTATTGCTCATAGGACAGAAAGAGTAAGAAAATAGTCAGTCAAGATGTGGCATGAATTAATCTGATGTTTAGTGATTTGATTATTAGAGTTTGGATTTGATTGTTTATATCAATATATAAGTAATATTTGCTTATATATTGATCTTCATCTCTCTGAAATACACATGCATAAGATTTGATATTTGACTATCAAGACATTTGATAGTAGTAAGTTTTCTTTGATATGGAGGAAACATCAAAGAAAATTTACTGAGCACATTTTTGCAGAATTCTACAAATGTGTCTTTTGCTTAGTAAGACTCAAATGAGAGCATTTTCGTACAAATTTCCAGAATTTGTATAGAAAAGCATTTTCTAACTGCATAAATTTTTAGAATTGCAGAGTCGACCTTTTATTTGAGGCTACTCATTCGCCTCCGTATGTAAAAAGGTTAAACATAATTCCTCTGGCAGTGGCAGTTTTGTTAACTTAAATTTGTCCTGGCTAATTTTTATGCAATACAGTATAGTTTGTTTTGCAGATCTAGACTGGAAGATGTGCGGTACTCAGAAGTGGTTTTAAAGTTTTACTCTGATAACTTCTTGTGATAATATGAATTTGAAAAAATTAAACATTGTTTAATTGTATTTGACATAAAACTCTGATTTTATAACAGTATCCTCGTATTTCATCAATCACTTAGAACTAAATATTGTACTAAACTGTACATGCTTTCAGAGTTTTTCATTATCTAATGTACTCTTGTAGTCCACGTTAACTCAAGTAATTAGGACTATTGTACGCAATAATTAAGATAAAAAATTCAGCAATGAGTGTGTAATTCCTCTGGCTGTTATGGAACCTTATTTAAAAGTAACTTATATCATTAAATCATTACCCCAATCTTGAAATATTAAATGAAATAGATGCACTAATAAAAAATTCTATGCGTGTACACATGCATTGAATTTTTTTTCTCAGTTTTTGACATTTTTAGGTTCAGAAGGTCTCAAAAACATGGAGATTTGCAAAAAACTGAGGATCAACTTTGAAACGATTCCAATAGCCTCCAATTCCCTTGTTATGTATACATAAAAGCCAGGAAAGTAAAACGAAAGTTAACAACAGATTCAATTGATAAATAATTTTTACGTTGTTTTCAATATCATTTTATTCTCTTTTCAAATTTGTTGAAATTAAATATTTATTAAAAATATAAAGATGATATGTCAGTTATATAGCTATCTAATAAATATATCACACCTAATATAATGGTATAACAATACATTGTTTTATATAATATATAAGTTATATATTATATAAGTGGTTAATATATTATAGTTATAGTAATATATTATAGTTATATAAGTAGCATTATTTATAGCATACACTTAATTGAGATCTCTTATAATAAATAGTAATTGTTAATCTAGCAATTAACAGATATTTTTAGCCATATTTATGCAGGAGGAGTTTATATGTATATATACATAATACTGGGATAAAAACGATAGCTGACCAAGTGCCATGGAGGTGGGCTGTGGGCACTTAAGTCATCTCTAGTTGGCACTGAGTGACCTGTATGGACATATTTAATGGTTATCTTTAGTTTTGACATAGAATAGAAACTAAAATAAACAATTACATAATAGATTGTTGGGTGTCTTATTTAATTTTACAAAAAATAAGTGATACAAGTGACTTATTTTGTTTTTTAGTTTGGTACTTCAAAGCCAAAAATGACTGAAAACATTTTCTCTTTAACTATAATTAAATGCTAGATTAAAAGTTATTGTTTATTCTACTTTAATCACTCAGTTTTCATCTTCTGTAATTTGCAAACAATATTTTCATCATCTGCATTGATTTATTTGTATAAAAATAGTAAATTGTTATAAGACATATTCATAATGTATTGTTAAAATAATGAAACTTTTCAAAATGAAACAAATAAGAAATGTCTATAGACTTGTTAAGGAAGAACTACAATAAATAAAATATTCGTTATTCCAATTTATCAGTAATATTAATAACCAAATCATTAAATTCTGGATTATTTCAAGTTGTATCTTGGCTATTAATTATTGATGTAAAGTAATTTGGTCAAGAGTTAGATGACTAACTGCCATCTTGTACTGGATGGTGATCTAACTGCCTAGTCTTAGACTAAATTACTTTGCTGCCTGGCCATCCAACCATTGATTAAGGCATCGACCTGCTACTGTGGAAGACTTGGGATTAAATCTGGATAAAGAACTCTAGGAATTTTGCATAGTGATCTGTCTTGAATCATCAATCCCCATCTCTTACACCTGGCCACCTCTACAATANATTATGTTATGTAAGTTAAGTTTTAGTATCATTTCCCTTCTCCCTCTCCACCGCCACCAGTTTAAACCTCCACCGTCATCTATCCTCAAAGGTAAAGGGCAAATAAAACTACATTTTTTTTAATAAATTATTATTCTATTATGGTTATTTATACATTTACAACTACAAAATGCATTTTTCAGTGTTTTCCTTACTAAAGTTATTTTTTTTCAATGTACTATTTAGCTTTAATTTGAGTGTGTTTTTCGTGTTGGAATGGATTATTTGGTTTTATGTGTAATCGTATGGGGAAAAATGATTCACCTTATTACATTTTCATGATACAATCTCAGTTTAGGAACGAATTAATTTTGTATCCTGAGGTACTACTGTATTATATTATATACCATATCAAATAAATGAATGGACAAAGTCATAACCTTATCTGCTGTGATAGTTGTTAAATTTTCTTTGTCACAGTGGGCAAGAAAGACCAATATCAAAACACTGTGGAACAACCTGATAGTGATTTACGAGTTCAAATATTGTTATTTGTGCCACATTCCAGATTAATTTTATTATATATATACAAGTTGCGGTTAGTGATGCAAATATAGGAAATCATGTGAATAGCCGGTCATTCGTGACATTTGTACAATGATTGGGCAAGATTCTAGCTGGCAATGTTGGCAATGCATTAAAAAATTATCCTAGTGTTGCTTGAGTAATGATGCGAACTTTCACGGCAACTGTTATACTCGGTATATTATATAGTCCTTGCAACATGGTAGTTGTCAAAATAGACTAAACCACTTTTTGTCAAGTTGTAAGTAAGGATATGCAGAAAAGAAAAGGGGGTACCAAAAAAATGGGTTGAGAGACATTTTATTGTTAGTTCATTTTGCTGAAGAATTTTTTAATGAAATACTTTATAATTGCAATATACTGTCCTATATCTAACTCTAAAGTGTCTCATTTGTTTTTAAGAATGAAATATTGTTGAAAGATCATAAATTTGTAATGGCTGAAGTTATTCAAAAAATTGGAACTGTTAGCAGTTCAAACAGAATCATATCAGGATTACTGTAGAAATTTCAGAAGAGTAAGTCATTGTGTACAATGTCAGAGACTGTTTCGAAGTAGATCCATCAAAATTAACAGTTTTCATTGTTTCCACAATAATAGTTTAATCTCTGAATTTTTGATCTTATCTCCTATATATATTTAGTTGTGTTGTAACTAAATACATAACTTTATTATTCATCAATATTAATGATTTTTGCACAAGTTTTTGATAAAATTTTATTCTATAATTTATTTTTCTATATATGTAATATGAGAATTTGTTGGCATTAAAAATTTGTTAATTTATTTTATTAGTTTAAGCAAGTTAACATCATTAGAATTAAGGGAAAATTTCTTAAAAGAATTACCGTTGTCATTCTCCCAGTTACATAATTTAGAAAGGCTCGATTTAGGTAGCAACGAATTTGAAGAATTGGTAAGTTTTATTTTTTAATTATCATTTTTTTTATTATTAAATTTATAATTTTCTATTTTGGCACTATAGTGAATATAATTTTACGTTCTTGTAGCAAACACACAATGTCAACAATAAGTTTTTTATGGTGTATAATTACAGTTTATTTCAATCTAGTCTGGTGTAGAAGTTGAATTATGTTAATTAATTTTTTGTCACAAGAAATAAATACTATATATTTTCATGCATTTCACTATAGTCTGTGCAGCAAAAGAGTAGAGATGAGTTTGCCTGAGCCAGAAGGATCTATATCGGATGGAAGGAGATATGTGAAAGTTGTCATGTAGATCTGATCTCTTTCAGCTGTTTTGCTTTTTACTTTTTAATACATTTTTATATTATCTTTATTTTAAATAAGTTTAATGTTTTACCTTTGTTTTTACAAATTTTATTACTGTGATCCATGTATCAACTCCCACTTGTTTCCTTTCATCCTTTTTATCTGACAAAGATCCTTCCTATTAAGACTGATTCATGGCTACTCTTTTGCTGTGCAGACTATAGTATAGTATGACAGAGAAAAATAGCTTATTTTGATTTAAATTATAAAGTACACAACCATTTATGTTACAGTATGTATTTATTAATTTAATATCATTTATTGTTACTGATTTTAACACACTCACTTTTTACATAAAAGCCAGTTACAAAACTTTATTAATACTAGCAAAGAATGCCTAGCATTGCCTCGGAACTCAGAGAGGGGGTTGAGTTGTCCTTGTTGTAGGGTAGCATATGCCTCCTGTAGGGTAGCAGAGAGTAACTGAATTTGGTACCAATGAATCAAAAGGTTTGGAATTTGTGGGGGATGAAATTGAGGGGAAGGAGCAAGGGTCCAAGTTTTAAAGTAGCATATATTTTTTGGAGGATTTTACAGACTGACTGCAAAATTCATCCAGATTGCTCAAAATATTTGGGAGTTTGGGTTTATGAGGATGAAATTTGAAAGGAGTCGGGGATCCTAGTTTTATGGTAGTCTGTTGCCCATAGAGTACCAAAGAGTAACTATATGGAATTTAGTCAAGATCGGTCAGAGGGGTTTGAGAGTTTGTAGGGAAGATGAAATCAGCAGGAAGGAGTGAGTCCAAGTTTCTGACATACATTAAATAAGCTTTAAGGCAGCTTATATACTGTATGTCAGAAAGTAATAAGCTTTCCAATGGTCCCTTCATATGGATACATTTCACAACAATTGTGACTTTTCTTTAGGCATTTTATCATCAATAAGGTTCACTTGCACATGTGTACATCTGAAAAGTAACCAAAAGAACTGGCATAGTTACCTAGGCTGAATAGTTAAACACAATAGTATATGTGGAGTGCATGATGTGACTCCCAATTGCATCTGGAAGTAGGCTGATTTCAAAAGCTGTATCTCATGAAGGGTTGCACATCGAGGCCTGGTTTCTTTAACTTTTTTTGGGCATGCTGTACAGTTCTGTTAAGGTCCCAACAGTATCATTCATATCTCAATTTTGCCTTATTATAAGAAACGAATGACTGAGACAATATAAACAAAGCATATATACAATTACCCAAACTACACAAATAAAAACGAAACAAAAAATATGTTTATTAAAGTTCACTTGTTGGCAAAAGGGATTGATTTTGTGACTTTGAACGAAGCAGACACACAACGATGCGAGAGAAATGCCACGGTAAAAAACATCGTTTTAATGCATTTTCCTTTCTTAATATGAAAATAATATATAACCTATGTCCATCTGGAAGGCATAAGCTTTCTGATAGACAAAGAATTTTAAAAATTGGTTCAGTAGATTCTGAGATCATCTCTAGCAAACAAACATTCTCGCTTTATATATTAAAGTGACAATGTTTGTTTCTTTGCTTATAGATTATCTCTTGATATTTATGTAATTCAAAATTCATCTTTAAATTGTATGTTTTGAAATATCGGAAAAAGGCATTTGTTTGTGTTTAATGATTATCAATATTTAAAGGATGACTTTTATCATATTAGTAAAAAATTAAGACAAATCTATCAAAGTCAATCACCTTTTATTTCACTTTAATTTCAGGAACTATATCACAATAAAAATAGTGCCTTATTTTATCATCTCCATTTGTTTTGACATAAGAAATAAATAAGCATATTCTGTAAATGTTCTTAATCTAAAGCCCATAAAGGACATAAATGATTAATATTTATTCTTACAAAATTATATTTAACAGATATGATTCATGAGATTATTTTAAATGTACAGTTTATAATATATATAAATATATTTTTAGCAACCTTTAATTGGTCAGTTATCAAGCTTGCAAGAGCTGTGGTTAGGTTGTAATGAACTCACCACTTTACCACCGGTAAGAACTTAAATGCTATTTAATTATTTGTCATTTAAATTTACATTATTTTATATTATAATCATAAATTACTGTCTCACAGAATGCAATTTTATTATCAAAAATTAAGTTACAAAATCACTCAATTACATATTATGATTTTTATGTAATTATTTAATAAATATTATGTTTTAATGTTAAAAGATAATTTTCATTTTTCACATTTTATCAAACATGAAATGCATAGATTTTACTAATCAACATGAGACCATCTTCCTCACTTTTTCAAGCAAATTTTTATTAAAATGCAAACATTTTTGACCTCATTTAGCTACCTGCATCAAGTTATTGAATTAAAAAATGAAGACAAAATGTTATGTTGCAAACAATGGATTTTTGCACACCCAGGAAAATATCCATTAATTGAAAAAATTTCCATTTAACCCTCTCCATTATAAGAAATACTAATACTTGCAATTATTCAATCTCTTGAGATCTCAATTCTTTATTCTATCGAGTTGCAAGATTGTATATATTAAGCCATACATGTGTAAAACAAAGCTGATGGAAACTGTATATACTGTAAACATAAAAGGAAACATATGCTCATTAGCACTTTACATGACTTCACAATTCGTTAAAAACTCGTCTATCTTGGTTTGGTTTGATGCATATTTTCTGCCCATTGATTACAACTGCTAGATATCACTAATGTCATCTACTGTATAGCCTGTTTGTTTATGCTTAAACTGGTTAGGAAGATCTTCATGACTTTAAAAGACTCGGTTGCCTTGCTAAATTTCAGCACTACACTTGGACTAGAGTCAGAACGTTTACCAGGTGGCTCCTCCTCGAACATATCAGCCCGCTGAATCTCTTCGTTCAGTTCTTCAGTCATACATATTCCAGACATAAGTGCATTGTTCCAGAAACACCCAAATATTAACTAAACCTTGAAAAAATACATGAAGTTTATAATACATGGATCCAGGAAAAAGTCTGTAATTCTGAGTTACATATCCACTAAAAAGGAGGTTTGGCAGAACTTTGAGAAAAAACTTATTTCAAGAAATCTGTTGTCCTGCAATCTGTTAAAACAAAATTCTACTGTGTTTATTTTTTTTCATGTTTCTATGTAAATGAGAGAACCGGGTTTAAGTCAGATGTAGATCGTCATTTTTCACAAACAAGTTGATTCAGAATGCCTTTTTACATCTTTGACTTGTATTGATTAACAGCATTACATGCCATTCAGATAAAAATGGGGAAAGTTAAATATGATCATATAATATGTAATGTTTTTATGTTGCATAACAACAACAATAAAAAAGCAAAACTTTAATACATTTATGAATAAAGTTTATTTATAGTTTAAAGTACCAAAATATTTTATTTATGTAAGGTATTCAATATTGACAAGAAAGATGTATTGAACGTAAGTCTTTTGGGCAATATTCTATTAATAAATTTAACAAATTTATTAAAATTTATACAATTACTTTTTAAATTTATGTGCATAAATAATTATATGAATATTTTATATAATATTCTTTTAAGTTATTCATTGAATTTTGTAAATAAATTTTTCAGGAAATTCAACATTTGAAACAGTTGAATTGTTTAGATGTTAGCGAAAATAGATTGGAGACACTTCCCGAAGAAATAGGAGGTTTAGAAAATTTAACAGATCTTCACTTATCACAAAATTGTTTAGAATTGCTTCCGGATGGCATTGGAAAACTTCAAAAACTTACTATTTTTAAGGTAAAATTTTCATATTGGAGTATGTAATGTTTTAAAGTAGTTTTAGATTCTAGTTAATTATAAATGATCGACGACAAAACTCAATTTTTATCTTTAAAAACTGTTTTATTTATGCACAGAGAATTTGTCTTGATTTAGAATTATGTTAAATATGTGTGCTTCAAATAATTGAATGGAGATTTTGAGACAAATGTTTTAATCTTGAAAAAATTCTGCACATTTATTCAATAAAAATATTATTAGAAATAAATTTAAAGATAAGTAATTTAATGTTTTAAGTTATGAGAGAATATGATGATGATAAATGATGAAAGTTGATTTAAAAAACTTGCTAATGTGATTATTTAATTTAATTTTCAAGTTAGTTTTGTATATAAAGTATACAATAATTCATTTTATAATTAATTTTAGTTTTCATCTGGTTTCAGATAGATCAGAATCGACTAGGATACTTGAATCCGTTAATTGGTAATGACGTAAACTTACAGGAACTTATTCTGACGGAAAATTTGTTGTCTGAGCTACCACCTTCTATAGGATATCTTACGAATCTGACTAATCTGAATGTCGATCGTAACAGATTGCTGGAATTATCATTACAGATAGGAAATCTCACTAAATTAAGAGTTCTCTCATTAAGGGATAATTGTCTGAGTTATTTACCCGAGGAAATGGGAAATCTTAATGATCTTCGTGTGTTAGATGTCTCTGGAAACAGGTAAAAGTTCTATTTTAAAACACAAATATTTAATTAATTAGTATCCTGAAAGAATAAATATTAGAAAAGATTCATAATTTTTAGCAAGAGTGACAATACTAATTGATGTTGCATTCCCCTAATTATCATTTTTATGTTAATCTGATGCTTTAGTATGACGACGTGATATGGTAAATGATTAATCATATTCAAAATAACACGATTTTAAATGTGAACACTAGAATGAATTCAAATATCAAATCAGCATGAGCGTTCCATAATTTGAATTGCGAGTTGATTTTTTAAAAAATACCTTAGTATGATGACGTTTCAAAATCATTAGAACATTTGCGATTATATTCTCATGAAGATCCTTAAATAAGATTGAAAACATTAACAGTGGTAAAATAAACTTGCTGGAGTAAAGGTGTTTTATAACTTGTAACTTTAAACTCAGTTAGATAAATTTTGGGTGTTTTTGTAGTTTGAAAATTCATTGAAATGTATTACTGAGAGTATGTAGGCCTAAAGGCAATGAGTGACAATGAATGACAGTTCATGAAAACTCATTGCCTTTAGGCCTACATACTCTTACACCCTTCAGTACTGAACATTACTTTTTGGAGGCAGGTGGGAAAAATGATTGCACACTAAACTGAAATCTTAGTGAACAGGAGAATAGGATGTGTGACATGACTGACGTTTTCATGGAAACAGATGTACATAGGTGATCCACTGGAGGATGTATTGGATTAGTGATAATATACTGTATTTATTAACTCCAAAGTGTAACAGTACTCTTCTTGAGTAAGGAAAATGAAAAATGAAAAATATGCATTCATTTAATTAACAGCGTTAACATAAAATTTATGAACTAGAATTTTATCATTTTTACTTATTTTGATTATAATAATTTGATTAATTGCATGTTTTTAAATATAAAGTGAAACTTATTAACAAATGAATTAAATATTTCAGGTTACAGTATTTACCTATAACAATTACAGCATTGAATTTAAAAGCTATTTGGTTAGCAGAAAATCAGGTAAATTTTTTTATACTTTCCACTCATTTTCTAATCTCAATAAATTAAAAATGTGTTTAATAATTGGTGTATATATATATATTAAATAATGCATTAGAATTTATTCATTTTTGTTATATTAATAGTATTATGTAAATAGTGCATTAACATATTTATAAATTGAACTAAATGTATTTGCTGTAACCAAGGAATAAATATAATTTATATTTATTCCTAAAGCTAAATTATTGACAATTTATGAATAAATTGTCAATAATTTACTTTTAGTTAAAAAGAACTTTGTGTTTTATCCTATATTTTCTTCAAAGACAGTGATTTGGGTCATAAATTAGTTTCTCTGCCTGGGTTGTTTTGTCAGGAAGTTGTGAAGAAGCAACTTTTCAGTAGTGAAGTTAAACTCCCATTTATTTACGTTATATTTTGACTGACAGTTATTAATTTTTTTATATTTATAAAACATTTTGTCTTCTTACTGGTAACTTTTCATTTATTTTCATTTTTAGAAGTATTGTCTGTTAAATCAATTTCATTTTTCCAGTTAATGAGATGGTATAATTTTATTCAAGTGCAAATTACTTTGTGATGTAGTTGTAGTTGCAGCTATTTTATAAATAGTTTTTTACAGAATGTAATTGTTTTGTATCAGATTAACATAGATGTGTCTCTTCTTATAACATTGCGTTGTTCTGTGTCATAATGTAAATGATTATCTTTCTGGCCACATTATTAATTTAAAATTAGAACATAATTATTAAATTAATAATTAAAACATGACTTATGTATATAATACATAAGCTATGTTCTAATTTTAACCAGATTTTTAATGTTATTATGGGGATGGCTTATTTTGCCCATTGGGCATTGCCTTATGTCAATTATGTAGTAAATCAATAAATATTGATATAAAAAATCAATCCTCTGAAATTTTCCATCAAAAATTTCTTCATGGTTGTTTCAATTTCTTACTAAATTTAGTAGGAAATCACCAACTTGGAAAACACTGATTACTGGCAACTGCAGTGCACTCAGATAACAACACAACAAAAGACAACTGAAAAGTACTTAAAAGGATTGACGATTAATTTGAGAATGTCAGAATACAGTAACATGTGATCTGTATACGTTTTTAATTAATACAGAATATTAATATCAAGCAAATAAACAAATGGTTTCCTTCCTAACGATTAAGCCATGAATTTACCTTACTTCCAATAATCTGATACACTTCCTGTTTCACGTATGTCAAATTACAAAGATTATACTGTAATATTTATATAATTGTAAGTTACTATTTTAGGAAATTGTAATATAACATGTGGAGACATTTACAAAGTGGTTGTGTCAGTAGTAATATCTTTGAAATATTTATATTGTTTTATATATATGTATATATTTTTTTTTTTATATTTAGGCACAACCCATGATAAAATTTCAGACTGATGTTGATGAAAAGAGAGGCTGTAAAATTTTGACCTGTTTCTTACTACCTCAACAAGCATATCTTGTAGAGAGCATGGGTAAGGTGTAGAAAATTTTAATTAAATGTTATTAATTAATACTTTAAAAATAATTTAGTAATTAAAAACTTTCATACAAAAAAGAAATAGTTTAATCTTATAACTTACCACATCTGTATGAAAATATATACTGTACACAAAATATAAACTCTTATCAACATAAAAAGCCCATGACTCCTTGTCATTAACATTTTAAACTTAATTCAACATTTAATATCGAGGTCTATAAAAGTTAAAATTACTAAAATGCTAACAATTTTTTAACATTCTTCATATAATTCTCAATCCTCAACAAAAATTAGAACAGAACAACAACTATTCATATTAAACAAAACTAAATTTAAAATCAAAGCATTTTGATGTTTAGTTTGATCACTTTTATAGACTTCTATATTAAATGGTAAATTAAATATAAACTCTAGTAAAATATTATATGGTTATGTACTTATATGGTATTGTACTTATTTCTAAAAGATATTCTAGAAGGTTAATGAATCAAAGTATTCATGCATGCAAGATATTTCTGTTACAATCATTTGACAATTCCAATTTGAATTTGTTAGAATGCTGTTTGCTTTAACTTTTTGTAATAGATAAGAATTTCCATATATCTAAAATTAACAGTCCACCAGTGATCGGTGGATAAAGCTATTAAACCCTGATAGTTTTGTCATGTTTGTGCCTAACCAATGGGTTAGATGCATGGAGTTTTCTGGGTTCTCTTCTTATGTCTATTACCTAAATAGGGGCCAATTTCTCATAGAAGGGGCTTCTGGAAAGTGCCCTTTGGCAGATTGCCCTCATGTTGCATTGCCTTATCTCATCACATTTAAAATAACAAGAATTTTAAGTTTTTGAATTGTTATACAGTAGAGCCTCGATTATCCAACTCAATTGGGAACTGGGGTTGGTCGGATAATTGAAAAGTCGGATAATCGAAAAGTATGAAAAAATCCATTATTAGTGTAGTATATTATTATATCCCATGTAATTAGTATATTAGTATATCGCTATTAACCTACTTCGCATTGAATTTTCATCGATGTTAAGCCTAACAAAAATTTTATAAAATAATAATCGTCGCTATTGTATCGTTAAAAATTAGAAAATTAAGC